AGAGAGAGAGAGAGAGAGAGAGAGAGAGAGAGAGAAAACACATGGCCAGCAAGCCACTCCCACAAAGGAAGCCACACCCACAGAGTAGGTTCAAACAATTTTTGAAACCCACCACTGCGGTGGTAGCTCCCAAGGGATGTTAGATACAGCAGGCAGGCAAGTTCAGAGTGAAAAGAAGAGTCGACATGGGCGTGATAACACAACTGTATTTTTCGGAGTATAAGACACACTCCCCCCCCCCAAAAGAGGGTGAAAATTTTGTGTGCATCTTATACACTGAATGCAGCCCCCCCAGGCCCCCACCCTTTGTCCTCTGCCTTCCAGCAATTTGCCTCCTTGCAGCAAACAGCCTGTTTCGGTTTCAGCTTCAGCACAGCCTGATTACACAAGCAGTTGATTGTCGGTTGGATCGGCCTCCCGACCATCAGCTGTTTCAGACTGCGGGAATTGCCATTGCCTCTTCCGTGCGTCCCATTTTTGGCCTCCGTGCGCCCTGTTTTCCGCCCATTCTGATCCCTACCACCTGGAGAGGGTGGGAAATGGGGCACACAGAGGCCAAAATGGGATGCAGAGGCCGAAAATGGGGCACGTGGAGGCAGTAATAGACTAGGGCAATCCCTGTAGCCTGAAACAGCTGATCGTTGGAGGCCCGACAATCACAGCTAATCAGGCTGTGCTGAAGCTGGAACTGAAACAGGGAGGGAGAGGGGGGGGGCTTCTTAACTTTTCCCATCTGTTTTGCATCTTCCAAAACAGAACTAAATACCTGTATTTTTCCCTTTGAATTGTCAGTTCGTCCATATCCACTGCATTCTCTTTCATGTTGAATTTTAAGCTCCAGAAGATTGGTTCTGATAAGCCTGTTTTGCCTTCTTCTTTGATGCCCAAATATAATCAGTAACGTGTCCAGCTCTTAATGACAACTGACATGTTTTTATACCGTGGCCCTTTCTCGCCCAATCCTCGCCTGTCTCATGCAGTTAATTCATCCCTTTTTAATTTGCTTTGTAATAAACTTGACATCCTATTCTATGTGTGGAGCTGGGCAAGATTTTGGCTGCACGCTAAATTAAGAACCAGTGAATGATCCCCGGGGACGAAAAACACAACACCTTCGGAGTCCAAAATACAATGTGATTCAGTGCTAACAACAGGGTGGGGTTTCCCCCCACCCTGTCTTAAACGTTTCTAAAATAAGAAAAAGAGGCCACTGCATGATAAAACAAATCTCAGGTTAAGCCTACTGTATAGGCAGTCCTCGGTTTACAACCTCAAAGTGTATGTTGTTAAACAAGACGTTAAATGGATTTTGCCGCATTTTATGACCTTTTTCCCACGGTCGTTACATGAATCATTGAAGTTCAGTTGGTTGTTAAATGAATCTGGCTTCCCTCTTCACTTTGCTAGCCAAGAGTGTCGCAAAAGGCGATCACGTGACCCAGGGACACTGGAACCGCCATAGGTACATGCCAGTTGCCAAGTGTCCAAATTCTGATCACATGGTCAGGGGCCATGCTGCAGTGGTTATAAGTGTAAAAAAAACGGTCATAAATTACTTTTTCTCAGTAACTTTGAATGGCCACTAAACAAACTTGTAAGTCAAGGAATCACCTGTGGTCATATATTATTAAATTCAGAACCAAGTTCAGACATAGGGCTTAAGCCAGTGCTGCCTAATATTTTTGTCGTTGTGTGCCGTAAGCGCATGTGCGCATGCCCACAATGCAATGCGCATGCAACATCCCCCCCACGCATGCACGCGTGACTCCCCCGTGCCCCGTTTGAAGTCTCCTGGCACCAAAAGTAGGCTGCCACGCTCCCTCCACCCCCTGTGCATGCGCACACTTCTCCTGCAAGTGTCCCACCCCCGCGCATGCTCGGCAGGGGCCCGAAAAACAACCGGCTGGTGTGTGCATGTGTGGTGGTAGAGCGGAGCTGGAGCAACGGCTGGCATGCCCACCCAGAGGGCTCCGCCATGGGCTTAAGCCCTTGTTGGTTATTTGACTTTCCCTTAGCATGTTGCTTGATTCCACCATCGAGATCCTAATCATGGTTTTTTTTAAACCATAGTTTAATCCAGGTCCCAACCTTTATTGCTCGGGGTAGAGATGCTTTAGGAGTTAGAATGATTTCTTCAATTGTTGAAAAGCGTTGCTTGTCCCAGAGAAACTCATTACACGCATCACTGGAGACTGTTTGTATTGACCGAATTCAGTTTTAATTAAGTCGAGATGAGATTAAATGTAGCTTTTGTCACGGCTGCCGTCAGCCTTTTGGGAGAATGTCACTCTGGGCCTGTCGCTAGATGAGGCTCAGCAAAAATTTGGCATTTCTTTCGTAGTCATAGCAGCGACAGAACAAAAGGGGAAGGCGGAATTTGGCTAGAGAGCAAATGAGCCAATCCTTGTTGGAGTAAATGCCTTCGAAATAAAATAGATAAATGCCTGAACAAGTACGATCAATGCTGATGTAAATCCTCCAGATTTGGAGGCAGTATATCCCTGAATAGAAGGCTCAGCTCTGGGTTGGCAGTTTTGGAAATTAAAGATTAGAAGATGTAAAACTGGGCACGTTTAAAAAGATAACAGAAGCGTTCATACTTTTCACAGCACGACAATTCATATCTAATATATAGCCTTGTGGTAATCTGTATAACGATATTATAATAACAATATTATAATATTGGGTAGTTCATGGCTTACAATTGGAATTGAGTCCAGAATTGTGATCATAAATCAAGGCGTCACACGACCAATTTGAAAGTATGACCACTTTTTACAACGGTCGTTAAGTGAATGTGGCCGTTGTTAAGCAAATCCATTTTCTCGATTGGTTTTTTTTTGCCAGGAATTGGAAGTAAACACCAGAAATCAGTAAAAAAAAAATGTGTTCCATGACCAAGTGACATTGCAAACAGCCATACGTGTAAACCAAGCACCCAAAATGCACTTTTGTGACTGCAGGAAAATATTTGGCTGTCATAATTCTGAAACCTGTCATAAGTCGAGAACCCCTGTATAGCAGAAAATATGAAGCCCATAGTTTCTTAGATCCAAATATCAAAAGGGATTTGTTGTGGCCCGCCAGTGGAGTTGGCAGCAGAGTCGGACAGTGAGGAGGTTGGGGAGGAACCTGGGCCAGTCCTGGAGGCTGGGGAAGGCTCTGATGAGGGCTCTGTGTCGGAGGCAGAGAGGGGGCAAGAGCCGTATG